TCCCATTGGCTGTAAGCTCAACTTTTCAACTTTTAGGGTTCTTATCAGGTAGTCGATTCTGAAAGCTTCAACTTTTATCCCCCTGGGTTTTGGGCTTAGGGTTTAGGGTTTAGGTTAGAAGCTGCCCCCAGCCTGTATTGCTGACTATAAGGATTATAGAGGGGCTGCTCCGAAGGGCTTTTAAGGGGTTTCGGGGGTTAGGGTTTAGGGTTTCGGGGTTTAGGGTTTCGGGTTTAGGGTTTCGGGTTTTCGGGGGTTAGGGTTTAGGGTTTAGGGTTTCGGGGGTTAGGGTTTAGGGTTTAGGGTTTCGGGGGTTAGGGTTTCGGGTTTAGGGTTTCGGGTTTTCGGGGGTTAGGGTTTAGGGTTTCGGGGGTTAGGGTTTAGGGTTTCGGGGGTTAGGGTTTCGGGTTTAGGGTTTCGGGGGTTAGGGTTTCGGGGGTTCGGGTTTCGGGGGTTAGGGTTTAGGTGTGGCATGGTTTGGCGTTGGGGTGAGGGGGTTTTGAGCAGATTCTCCCAAGAGTGGTGGGTAAAATGCACTGCATCGTTTTGGAGGTCCCATTTTCTCGCCCGTCCGACGGTTGTAGGATGTTGGGTGCATGACTGAGCGGCCGGGGATGCCGGGGATTCCCTAAACCCTACCTTAACCCTGAAGAACCTACCTTTTTAGGGTTCCCTACTATGATTTCCTTATATAGGTCCTTAAAAAGGTAGGTTCTCCAGGGTTAAGGTAAGCCCTAAGCCCTAGATCCTAAACCCTATAAACCCTAAACCCTTAGAGAACTCCTGAGGCCCCAAAGGGCTCCTATGGTGATATTCAATACTATGGGTAGTTGTCAAAAGTAGGGTCCCTTTTAGGGGACCCTAAATAGAAGGTGCCGTAATATATTAGGGACCCAAAAAAGGGACCATAATTTTGACAACCACCGATATAAAGGGGCCTAAACAATTACCAACACTAGTTTTGGGCTGCTTATTGTGACTATAGTCTATAGTGTTATAAACGGCTCCAAAACCCCATTCTACATATGAAGGCCTCTATATAAATATTCCGTTACAGCTAGCTGTGTAGTTACCGTACAATGTGCACCCACACCCTATTCCAACCATCAAGGCCGGCATAGAAACCCTCAACCCCGACATCCCGCAATCCCTCAAACACCCAAATTAAAACAAAAAACACTAAACCCAAAGCAGAAACTTCGAAAGCCCTCAACTCCAAATTCCGTGGAGGCTGGAAAGTGGTATGCCAACAAGGACGAGGCAAGGCCTGCCTAAGACATGGGCATTTTTCACAAGCTTTAGAGTTTAGGGCTTTTGAACATAGAAATTAAATTTGTGTTTGGACATACCTATGTGTGTGAATACGTGTTTTACACTGCATAAGAGCTGCGTTTAGGGTTTAGTGTGTGGGTTAGTGTATGTGTATAAAAGCTATTATGAGGGTTCTTAGTTTAGGGGCCTTAATCATTTGAATAGGGTTTTGGGGCCCATTATACCATTGTTATAATGAAGAACCTCCCAAAATAGTATTGGTAATTATTTAGGTCCCTATATCATAGAACCCTACTATAGATCCCTTATAGACTTATAGACTAGATATGTGTAAATAGTCATGCAAGTCCAGCAAATTTTTTTGTTTTTCGCCCGACTGAGCAGAATTGCAGTGGTGTCGGCAGGCAGAACGGCAATCACATTCATACTCCTCCCGATTGGAGGTTATACCCAGTATTGCTCTTTATTACTACAGTCGTACCGTATGCATCGACGAGGTTATCACAGACCGGGACCTATAAGTAGGTGCAGCATGCTTCTTCCACTCCAACACCGGCGCAACAGAAAACAGGGGCTTGGACGCATTAACTCAGGTGCCTCCGACCTCCATCTCGCTTGCGCCGCCCCCTCAGTGTGAAGTCTCGCTATAAACCCTCAGACCCCCTTATAGTAATCCCTAAAAAGCCCCTGAACCCTAAACCCCATGTAGGTCCCTTATAGATCCCTTTAAGGGAACCCCTGCAGGACCCGCTCTCTGCACCATCCCGATTTGCACGTCCCCCCAAGCCCGAATGTTCCGGGAGTATCGAGGCCTCGTCGCTGCCTGCTGATATGAGCCTGCCGGGCATTTCATGATATGTAGAACGGGGCTTTGGAGCCGTTTATAACACTATAATTAGTCACAATAAGCAGCCCCAAAACTAGTGTTGGTAATTGTTTTGGCCCCGTTATGGGTGGTTGTCAAAATTATGGTCCCTTTTTGGGTCCCTAATATAGTACGGCACCTAATATTTAGGGTACCCAAAAAGGAACCCTAATTTTGACAACCACCCATGTATATTCGAGATTGAACCCCAACTTAACCCAAAGCCCCGAAGCTTTGTCCCCAAGCTGTACAGATGGCAAGCAGCCAATGATCTGCTGCTTGCTCGGCAAAGCGCCGTTGTAGCGATGAAAGAGCTGCCAGTGTGGTTCGGCTCCTGCGGCATGTTTAGGGGTTTAGGGCTTAGAGTTTAGGGTTTAGGTTCATTGGTTTGGGGTTTCAGTCTGGACCATTCACATGCAGAGGTGGAACAGGTTCCGATGGTTGATTTCCAAGGTTGCTCCGGCGCGCAAGTTGTAGAAATCTGTCCGGCCGGTGCCGATTGTTTTATTCCCTGACTGCACATCCAGTCCGAAAGCCATGTGATCCGTTACCTCCAATGCCCGAACCCTTAACTCTGAACCCTGAATTATCTAGCATCAAAGCCCGAAAGACCCTACACAGCTGGGACGCGTAATGCTGGAAGTTCCTGCAGCAGGTCCCCTGATACTATAGGGGCCTAGATAATTACCTATACTGTTGTGTTTTTTTGTTTTGTGTTTGTGTGTGTGTTTCTTTTTTTTTTTGGGGGGGGGTCCTTATTATAGATATAGTGTAACGGGCCCGAAAACCCCATTCTAATTGTTAAAAAGGCCCCCATATTACTTGGGGTATCAGAAAGTGAGCGCTCCTCTTTGTGGGTCCCAAGATTCAGGACCCTGGGGGCCCTATACTTTACTGCTCTTAGGAAGTATGTTTAGGGTTTAGGCCCTAGGTTTTTCTTATAACAGAACATAAGGGGGTTCATGGGAAAATTATGTTTTGCTTCGGTTGTATATGGGGTTGACCTATTTGTCTGAATCTCCTATATAGCTGCAAGGCTGTAGGGTTCTTGGGTGGTTTCGGCGATTCTGTGGATTGTTGTCCCATAGCAGCACTGTAGCTGAAAACCGAGTCCATTCATCACATGTGGCCTCAGAGTTAGAGTTCATATAGTGTTCACATAGAATCCGCCAGTCCTCTTATCCTTCACAGCTTAGAAGGCATGCTGAAGTTCGCTCCATCTCCCCATCTATCAATCCTTGCTTGGCTCGGGTATAAGCTTTCGACTCCAGGATGTACGACAACATGCTACAATGTGCTACCAAAATATCACACATAATTTACGTAAAGCCTGCGATAGTTGGCGATATACGATCGTTTCCACAAACGGACCCAGAGGGAAGGCGCCTGTAACCACCGGCTGCAGCCCCTAAACCCTAAACCCGGCAAGGAGTTATGCAATCGCTTCGGAAAACCAGCGCTCCGCAAGTTCAACATGCTAACTGCTATCTGTGTAGCCAGAGCCTCCAAAACCCCGTAATACAGGATTATACCTCAAACTATAATAGGATCCGTAATATGACATAATTGAGGTATTTTCTTTATTTAAAGGGGTATGGGAGTCTCTGTGTACAGTGGATTGTTTACATCTATAGGCAACCTAAGGATATACAACAGAGAGCTTGCACTGCGTTTTGTGTGATCAAGACTGTCTGTCCTACTCTCAGGTCCAGGTTTAATTTGTTGTTTGTCCTTACTAGTTACTTTTGCTTTTCCATAGCTTATAACTGTAGATAAAGCCAGTGAGGAGGACTCCTTCGAAACGACTACTCGCAGGAGCAAATCTCACATTCGCTGACACGGCATGACACGGCCACGAGCCCGAACAAGCTTTGAAGCCTTCTCCAACCTTGGCGGCCCCCTGGGGTAAACTTACCTTTGGTTAGTAGGGAATGGAAGAACGGTAATAATAGTAGTTATAGTTGTAACCCATTCTTCCATTCCCTACTAGCCAAAGGTAAGTAAAGTAGGCACTTAGAAGAAGGGTTTAGAACTGGATGCTGCAAACGCCGCCGCTCCTCCCCGGTTTGCTGCAACATGCACGGATGCTCAACCTTGGGCTTCATAGGGCTCAGGGTTTAGGACATGTGTAGCATCTTATCAGAGAGAAGCACAGCATGGCTTTCCCTGGTGTGACACAGCATCCTTCAGTGCCTCGGTCGTGCCCCGTAATGCGGCCTTTTACTTTGTGTGTGTGTGTGTAAGTATATATATATATACATATACATATCATATACACATTTATACATAGATCCATACATTCCATACATAATTTTTATGTATAGTTCCGAACCGGCAAGGCACGGACCACCGACTGGCAATGCTCAGTTTACAAAGACTACCTTGTGTCTACGACGCGGAAATTCAGTTATCGTGTGTTTAGCTTTGTCCATTACGTCGAGCATGTCGTTGTCTGTCTGTCTGTCTGTCTGTCTCTCTATCTATCGGTTATTCACACAGCACATAATTGGATGCCCCCGCCTAGGCATCCTTAACCCCAAACCCTTGACCCTCAACCCTAAAAGCAAGACTTTAGAAGCTGCCCCCACCCTGTAATAGTGACTATAAGGATTATATTAGGGCCCTATTATATTCCGATTATACCACTATTACAGGGTGGGGGCCCCTTCTAAGCAAGACTCGTATCCCAAAGGCTCCATGTACCCATATAGTAGGTACTTAGGCCTGAAAGTAGCCATGTAGGGACCCCTTTAAGGTCTAAGTACCTACTATATGGGTACATATAGAGCCCTTATAGAACCCTTTAAAAGGGGCCCCTTCTAAGCAAGACTCCTAAAAGAACGAAAAAACGAGTCTTGGCGAGGCGAACGCCCAGGGAGCCAGGCCCAGCTTTCAGGGCTGGGCAAGCCCAGCAGACAGGCGCGGATGTAGGAATTTAGGAATTTAGGGGTTTAGGAATTAGGGTTTAGGAATTTAGGGATTTAGGAATTTAGGGTTTAGGGTTTAGGGGTTTTGGGGTTTTGGGGTTTTGGGGTTTAGGGTTTAGGGGTTTAGGGGTTTAGGGTTTAGGGGTTTAGGGCTTAGGGTAAGCCGGAATAACTTACCTTTTTAAGGACTTATATAAGGAAATCATAATAAGGAACCCTAAAAAGGTAGGTTATTCCGGCTTAAGGTAGGGTGTTAAGCTTACCAGGACCCTCCTTGCACCCTCAAACAGGGGTACATGGTCCCAAATAAGGGGCATTTAGGGTCTAATAGAGGGTAGATGGAGGGTCTAGGTAGTTTCCAGAATGCGGGCCCTCCCCTAAACCCTATGAGCCCCAAGCTCAGTACGTAACGCAGCTCCACCCCCTCTCGCCCACAATTCTCAGAGACACCCAGTTGGCTTTCCGGCAGGTCTGTGTGTAACTTGAGTTTCAGTTGCAGGAAACTTGAAAACCTGAGAAAGAGTAATTACCGAGCGAAAGCCGTGGGTCGTTCGACAACAACATAGGCTACCACACCCTGGTGTCCGTAAAAGGAAAGTTTTCACACTAAACGCCAGAATCCTTAACACAAACAAAATAGCATTTAAACCCTAACCCCACAGGGTACCTATAAGGGTTCCTTTAACGGACTCATAGGGTTCCTCTATTTGTGCCGAGGGTTCGATCCGACCGCAGACTTCTAGAGTTCTTAAGACGCGGAAGACCCGAAGACACCAAGTTCAAGGCTGTCAGCCTGTCTTCTTCTTTTGGGGTTTAGGGTTAAGGATGGTTCAGGGTTTTGGGGTTTGGCGTTTAGGGGTTTAGGGCGTTGGGGTTTAGGGTTGAGGAGTGTGAGTTGTTTTTGTTTGGTGCTTAGGCTTTAGGTTTAGGGCTGTGAATGGGTCTTTGGGTTTTAGGAAAGGCTTTCTCTTTTCTGAAGTTTGTCATGCTTGTTGAGTCAAGTCTGCGTTCCCGGGGTTCAAAGGCGCAGGGTTCGCAGAGCTGTACTGTAGGGCTTTTAGCTTGGAGTGCTTAGGATCAAGTTGGGGCCTCATGTTTTAGGGTTTAGGGTTGTTTCTAGGGTTTGCGTGTTGAGGGGTTAAGGGGTTGCCAGGTTCTACGTTCGGGTGAGGACATGCATGCCATTCGTTTGTGACAAATGCCATTCAGGTGGCTCATAGACAAAGGTACGATAGTACCGGCCTCGGTACGCCTCTCGCACGAGCACGATTCTCAAATTTTGGGATCTTGTTATTTTCAGGCATTTTTGCAATAAGGATCCCACCAGCCCGCTGTTCATACCTTTTCGCGGGGGTCAGGATTGAGTGACAATGCAGGAGAGTTCCGGTCAGACGTTGAGGGGGCCTCCTTTTCTATTTCGGCAGCGGTTTCTGGCTTGAAGCTTCCGCCATTCGGTCTACGAGATCTTCAAGCATCTACGGTTTAGGGTTTTGGGTTTATGGTCAAGTATCTAAGAGGGTCTATTTTGTTCTGTAAGCCCTTTACACCAAAAAGGGCACCCTTTTTATTCCTAGCTTACTCTTGGGTCTAGATAAATGTTCTGAAGACCTCGGAGCACTAGCAAATTCATTACTGAAAGCCTTTTGTAGAAACCCTCAAGCCCTGATCCTCATAGCAGCCCGCAGATGTTCGTCAAGATGCTATACTCCGCGGAGCTAGGAACAGTTGCAATAACAGCCCCGAAAGTTGGAAGCCCAATAGCCGCAATCCTTAAGAGTCATGTTTTGGGAATTCCAGCACTAGTTGTCCTTAATCCGGTTTCCAACTTTTTGGGGTTTACTGTACATGGGTACCCAGCCTACCCCAAAAGCCCAAGCTTACAGGCCAAACATGAAAGTCTCTCTTTGCTTTTGGGTTTAGCGTCTAGGGATTTAGGAAATTCTGTGTTGGGTTTCATGATTCAGCGGGTCAGGATGTAGGGTCCCTTGGCAACAATGTCGTGTGCTTGAAGACTTCCGAACCTTTCCGGCGCTGTGGGAATATTGTCGGGTTGGGAATTCATCGAAAACAACAAAACTCGGATTCATAAGAACCCTGCACACTTGCGAAGAGTTACTCGAACTCGAGCTTTCGTAATCTGCAAACACTAGAGGCCCTGAACCCGTAGAATGGGCACAAATCCTACGAGACCGATAGCCCCTACAATCCTACAGACAACCCCAAAGCCCATGCCTAAAGCCGCAGATGAGACGAAGTGCCCAGGACATGGCACTGATCTCCGACGGTGCCCTTCAGCGGTTGCCGGCTTCCTTCCGTGAGGCCCCTGGGCTGCCTTTTTTTGTTGTCATCTGATGGCCGGGTTTAGGGTTGAAGGTTTAGGGTTCAAGGTGCAGGCTTTAGGGTTTAGGGTTTGCCCAAGATGCCACCCTGTGACACTATAGGACACGCCCCAAGTGCCAGCGGCATGGCTCTTTGCAGCCCGGCGAAGCCGAACCCAGAGGGTCCAACTACACGAACCCTTATGGAATTACCCTAAGGTCCCATAGTAGTTCCTTTTACATAGCCCCAAAAGGAACTACTATGGGGCCTTTGGGTAGACCCCAAACGACGACTCTGATCATGGGTTTCGGCAACCGAATTCCAGAGGAGTATATAAATGGGTAGTTGTCAAAATTAAGGTGCCTTGTTGGGACCCTGAATATTAGGTGCCGCACTATATTAGGGACCCAAAAAGGGACACTAATTTTCGCAACCACCCAACTGTATATGTGGACCATCTTGGGCACCGGCCCAGCAGACAACGCTTGCTGATACTCTGGCTGAGCCTCGGTCTTGTTCAGAACGACACATAGTCTACAGCCTTTAGGATTTGTGTATAGGTTTTAGGGTTTAGAACGCAAGCCCGAAGCCTAAATCCTTACGGGCTGAAAACAGGAAACCCGCCAAGGCTTCAAAGCCTCACAGCCAGGCAGCGATGGGTGAGCTCCGTAGAGTTCTGAAGCCAGGAGGTGCAGGCCTCAGATCTCATCGGTTCGGGGTTTAGGTTTAGGGGTTTGGTGTCGCTGACAGAAACAGTAGTTAGCAGTACGACTCGCTCTTGTGTCAACGAGGTCATCGCTGTGGCTTCGTCTGCATCTCCTGCTGCTACTGCTACACTACTACCAGTACCGCTGCACGACGGCTACGACTGCTGCTTCTACCGCTGCTGCTGTTCCTCCTCCTCCTCCTCCTCCTTTTCCTCCTCCTCCTGCTCCTCCTACTACTACTACTACTACTACTCCTACTCCTACTCCTACTCCTACTCCTACTCCTACTCCTACTCCTCCTTCTACCCCTACTCCTACTCCTACTGCTACTGCTGCTACGACGACGACTACCACTACCACACTGCTACCGCTACCACTGTAGCACTACCACGACCACTGCCGCTATCGCTACTCCTACTCCTACTTCTACTAGTACAATACTACTACTACTACTACTACTACTACTACTACTACTACTACTACTACTACTACTACTACTACTACTACTACTACTACTACTACTACTACTACTACTACTACTACTACTACTACTACTACTACTACTACTACTACTACTACTACTACTACTACTACTACTACTACTACTACTACTACTACTACTACTACTACTACTACTACTACTACTACTACTACTACTACTACTACTACTACTACTACTACTACTACTACTACTACTACTACTACTACTACTACTACTACTACTACTACTACTACTACTACTACTACTACTACTACTACTACTACTACTACTACTACTACTACTACTACTACTACTACTACTACTACTACGCCTTCTAAAGGGAACCCTGTTTAAATTATTAAGGTCCCTATATTATCCGTGAGGCATGGCTGCCGCATTACTTGTCGAGAACACCTGAAACGTGCCCTACCCTGGATTCGAGGTCGTCTCTTTGCCGTGGCATCTGACGAAGATGAAGAGGTCCTCTGCAGAGAGACGGAAGGTCACTTCAAGCTGTTTGTGCCTCATGTTTGGAAGGCCCCCGCTAAAACCCTAAACCCTAAAACCTAAACTTTAAGCCGTAAAATCTTAAAACTCTTAAACCCCCAAACCCCTATACCCTAAAGCCCTAAGACCCTGAAACCCTCACCCCAGCTCGAGCCTGCTGCAACACGCCCGGTAAAAACACAGTGCTGACTATGAAGGGGTCGAAAGCAGTATACAGATCCTTATCATTATTGGTCCAAAACCAAACTTTTCAATTTTTGGGCTCTTGTGAGGTAGTCTTATTCTGAATGTTGGGAACTTTTCAGCCCTGGGGGTTTTGCGGTTTAAGGATCTGGCAAGGCCATTTGACAGGGAGGGTGTCCTCCAGCTGTATTGGACGACGCTTCTACTATCCATCCTATCCATTCCAATGAACTTCCTCGTTGCAGTCAGCTGTGTTATGACTCAAGTTGGCTCCTCTAACTCTAAACCGAAGTAACCAAGAAAAGGAGATGTGTTTCAAGGCCCGCGTAACCCTGAAATCTAAGCCCCTAAACCCGAAACTCATCGCTTTCTTTCCTCCCAGGCATATGCAGGCGACTGGGAGCAAGGGATGAAGGGCTCCATCTTCGACAAGGCGGCGCAGCCGGTTTTCAGCAATCCCTAAGCCCCAAAGCTCGTATTACAGTTTACGATTAAACCCTATCCAAAACCCCTAAGACGCACCACCCCTCAGTGGCTGCCCGTTGTTCATGATACTTTTGCAGGCTGGCTTCGAGCTGCAGGCCGCGAAGCAAGGCGAGTGCGGCCTCACCATCGGTTATTTCAGGACGGCCCTTCAGGGGTTCAGGGTGCAGGCTGTGTGGGTTCGGGAAGTTTAGGGTTTCACGAGTGCGGATGTGGGTCTTGGCCCCAAAACCACAACCTTTGCCTTGCAGGGCTTCGTTTTGGCACTTCAAGTTTCAGGTGAGCTGTGTTAAGTCCTCAAACTAATGCCCATACCAAAGATACCCAGCCAGGAAAAAAGGCGTCCGAAGAAAGAAGCCGAAGTTGGCGAAGGCACCTGGACGGGCCTGCAAACTCGTTGTCGTTGTGCTCGGGATCGTGGTCGTTGCTGCAGCTGCTGCTGGTGTTGAGGTTGGTGGTGTTGGTGTTGTTGTCGTCATTATATGGCCTACGTTTTTGTTGAGAGCCCGTTGAGGTTGTTGGTGGTGTTGTTGTCGTCATACTATCGCCTACATTCTTGTTGCGAGCCCATGGACATTACCTACTTCGGCTTCTTGTATTGTTGGCCGCGGTGTTTGTGCAAAGGCTGCTGTTGAGGGGATGTTGAGCCGATTTTACCGCCGCGCATGAGGCTGAACACCCTAAACCCGAGACCCCAAACTCTAAACCGAAGCTGAGCCGACCTGAGACCATCACAAGCTCTAAGCTCGAAGCCATATCGGACATGCACCAAGATTTGGCAAGGAATTCGGGGTCCTTGGATCCTTTGCTGCTCCCTCAAGCCTTACAGGTTCATGGTTTAGGGGGTTTAGGTGACTAGAAGCCTGCATTCAACCTCCGTAAGATATTGTAAAGACTCCGAGCCGTATAGAAATTTGGGGGTTTCCGAAAAAAGGGGACCCTAATATAGTACCCTAAGTAGTCGGATCCCTACTATCAGGACCCCAAAATAAGGTACCCCCAATTTTCGGAAACTCCCAAATGCCTCTACAACCGCCAACAGGCCTCCACCAAGTCCTTCGATGTGGACCCTAACGAGCTGAGCGCCCTGCTGGGCGGTGAAGACTAGCTTCCCCACTTCGGAAAAAAGAAGCGTCGGGCTTCGGTTTAAGTGTACCAAGAGCCAGCAACCAAACCCTAGACCCCAAAACCCTACACCCTAAACCCGAACACAAACCGTACATTTGTAGCTTCCCGACTTCGGAGAAGAAGCAGCGGATTGGTATGGGGGTTTACGTAGTTGCAGAAGGCATCCGCTTACAGTTCCTGTATGGTTTAGGGCTTTGGTTCTAGCGTGTGCCCTGGAGGACCCTATAAAGCCTACCTGCAAGGGCTCCTTCTTATGTCTTCCGTATATGAGTCCTTCAGATTAAGAAGGTAGTTTATTTGAGGTTACAGCAGGGGTTGGGGCTCAGAGTTTAGTTTGTTTGTTTAACTGTTTTCCTGGCCCGGTTTCGGACAAAAGCAAATATAATTTGTTTCCGACAGGTGACAAATCCCTTAGGGCCTTGTCTTTTGGGACCCTCATGGACCACGTATCAGAACCCTTATAGACCCCTTCTGGAGAGCTTATGATAGCGAGCAAGAGACCAGCTACCCCTAAACCCTAGACCCGTTTTGAATTCAATAGGTCCCGATGGCAGAGAGTAGTTAGAGGAAATCCAGGCGAAGACCTGCGCACCCTACTATAGGGGCCTAAATCATTGCCAATACTATTTTGGGGGCTCCTTATTCTAAGTATAGTATACTGGGCCCCAAAGCCTTATTCTAATTGTTAAGGCCCCTAATGTGGTCTCCTGATTATTAAACCCCCCCCCCCCCCCCCCCAAACAAGTCCAGTCCCTGTAATATTAACGGGGGGTCCGCATATCTCTGACCTGAAGTTGTTTGGGGGGTCCGGGGTCGAAGTTGTTTGGGGGCCGGGGGTAGTACAGTAGTACAGTAGTACATTAGTACAGTAGTACAGTAGTAGTACAGTAGTACAGTAGTACAGTAGTACAGTAGTACAGTAGTAGTATAGTAGCAGATTTTTGCAGCCCTCTTCGCTCCAGCAGCCCTCTTGCTCCGCTCTTTTCGCAACCTTCGACTCTCAACTCCGTTGGCATACTGTTCTCTTTGGAAGCCTCTAGTTCTGAAAGCGAAAATACTCAATCTCTTGGGTTGGATTTTAGGACGGGACGGGTTTTAGGACTATTGAGGGGTCTTTATTATTGTGTGCGGGCCGAGTTTAGCTCTATTGAGGGGACCTTTTATTATTGTGTGCCGGGCCGAGTTTAGCTCTATTGAGGGGACCTTTAATAATCACGAGCTCACATTAGTTTACCCCTTAAACCCTAAAGCGATTGCCGTTCCGGCTTCCAGGTATCACAGCTTGTAGATCTAGACTTGGGGGGAGGTTCCATTGGTGGGCCGATATACTGCAGCCTTCCTGGAGACGTAGCGCTCAGGACGTGGGGCATCCATCAGGGTTCTGTGAGGTTCCTATCCTCCAATGTGGGTTCAGCCGCGTCGGGCTGTTCAAAGTTTAGGGGCTTCGGGTTTAGAGTTTAGGATTTCGTGTTTAGTGTTGGGGGTGAAAGCTTGACGGCCCTTACAGTCAACATTGAACTGGTAGACGTTCGTCTTCGTTCCCTGGAGGTTCTGCCTAAGTGTGGCGTGAGAGTTTTAGCCATACGCCCCATGGTAGTTCCTTGTGGGGGTTTAGAAAAGATTTATATAGTAATTAATAAGGTAATCCCCAAAAGGAACTACTATGGAGCCTATGGGTATGTTAGCTTAGCTCGCAAGCCCCACCAGAGCGAAAAGCCGCAAAGCCTCAACCCAAATGTTGCAACTTGCAACCCTACGTAAACCCACTGATCGTCCTGGTTATAACCTAATAACCCTAATTAAACCCTTGTGCAACTCCATAATCTACCCCAAACCCTAGTGTAACAGTGTACTTGTGAAGGCTCCCTGTATCATGTGAAGCCGCGCTCCTAAAGCCTGAAACCGAGAACCCGGCACTCCGAGCCTTGCTGTTGGTCCCTCATGATAACTCTTAGTATCGTATACCCCAAAGCCGGTGTGCCATTACGGGCCCTTTAGACAAGCTTAAAATAATCCGTATATTAACCCTTATAGAACCCTTGCCGAGCATATACATGTTTATGTATATGTATATATATATATATATATATATATATATATATACATATGGCGTAAAGCCCTCTCCGAGCCTGGATGGCCTCCCTGCCGCTAGGAATGGCGTACCAGTTCGTTCTGACCTGGTGCCTTGCCATGTGGTAGAGTGGAGCCTGGGTGTAGGAGCGTAGGATTAGGGTTTAGGGATGGGGCATCAAGGTTTAGGGTTTAGGATCCTGTAAAAGGCTTCTAGATTCTAGATCCCAGCATGATGTTTGGTCGTGCTGTATTCCGGCATCTGTGCTCTAGCTGGTTCGTTGAGGGTCCAAGTAGCTTATTACCATATACTCTTCAAAATCCTACCCCACAGAACTACTATCCAAAAACCGAGTACCCAATTATTGGGTCCTTTGGACCCTTGGGGCTATGCCTTACAGCAGCCCTGAAAGGAACCCTTGACGGAACCCTAAACCTCTAATTATTGGGTCCTTTGGACCCTTGGGGGTTGATTGATGGGTACGTCCAGCTCTGGTCTGGGACGAGAAGCCGATCCTTTAGTGATAGGGACCCTTGGGGGGGGAGGGGGGTAGGGGACTACTTATGTTTCCTTGAAGAGGTCTTATTAGGTCCTTATAGCTAGTGGGCATTAAGGCCCCCTACCCCCCTCTAAAGATTCCTATGATTCAGGCATTTGCTGTGCTTTTTGTCGAAGGTTACTTTAATCTGAAAGGGGTTTAGGGCTTCAGGATTCTCGGCCCTGATTCGAACAAGTTATCTAATTGCGTCGGTACCACTCTTGCATCCATTGAGGTGTAGGAGACATGTTTTCGAGACCAAATGCCCGGCAGCAGAATCAAGCCCCAGAACATGGCAGCCCAACGTGCTACTACAGAGGCCTGGACAAAGACCAATACTATGCTGACTAGTATACTTAAGCACTGTTTTTAATTCGTTTCTCCAACTCTTATCCACCCTGGCTCAATCCTAAACCCTACAGACCCTGAACCCTAGACCCTTATAGACCCTAAACCCTAAGCCCTGATGCGTTCGACGGCACCGCAGGTCCCTCCTAGCGTGCGTCATTGGCACCATCGTGGCTTTCGGCCTGATAGGCCACGAAGCGGACGTTTGGAAAGTAGTGGGGCTTTAATATTAAGTATCTGTACTATTTTGGGGCGGGGTGGGGTTCTAATTGTTAAGGCCCCTACATGACATGTGCCGCATGATAAGATAAGTAGGTGAGAAGAAACGTACAAACAAACACGCTAACTTGCGGCGGGCTCCTTATTTATATAATTATAGTATAAATGATGGGCCCCAACACCCTATTCTGTTTATTAATGACCCTATAATACAGTATAACACGCAAGGAAACCTAGGCGTGTGCCATATGAAGTAATTATAGGTGAGAATAAACGAACAAGCAAACATGCGTACCTGTATTATGCTAGGATTATCACAACCCTAAACCCTAAACCCTAAACCCTCAAGTATCCTGCGAGGATCCTAACCTGGGACCGGTACCCTCAACTCACCAGAAATCCAAGGCCCAAGACGAGAAACCTCGACGAAATAAAGCCTCAAATCCGAACCCCCGATGTAGGTATAACCCCAAGTTAGTAGGATTCATATGGGAGTTTCCGAAAAAGAGGGGTACCTTATTTTGGGGTCCTTATAACAAGGATCCTACTATTTGGGGTACTATGTTAGGGTCCCCTATTTTCGGAGACTCCCATATGAGGAACCCTCAAAGGCCCAAAGTTTCTTAATCAGGTTCCGACGTGAAACCCTAAGGCAGGAGCCTCTGGGACGAGTCAAAAACCTCCTACTCGGTGCTCTTGGGGAGGGTTATCTAACATCAATCATGGCTTGGCCCAGATCTTTGGGTTTAGGGTTCAGGGTTTAGGGTTGAGGGTTTACCCAGATCCTTTCTTCTAGTTTGTTCTCGTTGCTGTTGCCCTGCTTGGGTATGAGAGGTTCCTGATCGCAAAGCTGCTAACCCTATAAGGACTAGCATCAATACTCATTCAGGGCCCCCCTGGTCAAACCCCAAACCCTGGACCTCCTCTAAACCCCAAACCCTGAAATGAAGCTGACCAGCAAAATCTCAACCCTCAGCACCAAGCCTGTGTAAGATCAGGGTCTACGGTTCAGGCCCAAGCCCTGTTCCTCAACCCTAAACCCCTAAACCCCTAAGCCCCTAAACCCTAAACCCTTAAACTCTTAAACTTCAAAACCTTCTGATGTCGGTTGCCCCAGCTCTGAAAGTTCCCCTGCTGCGCAGTTTTTCTGTGGGGCGCCTACCTGGACAGGCGGGTACCGATATGATCTGATGCTGTAGTAAGTAGGGTTCCTTAATGGGCTCCTTTAAGGGATCTATAGGGTTCCTTAAAGGGATCTATAGGGTTTGGGGTTTAGGGTCTACTTGGAGGATCATGGGACTTTGTAAGTTAGGTTATGAGTACCCAATCGGAGTTAGAAGTATAGTTAGCTTATTTTATAACCCTAGTTACTAAGTCCCATGATCCTCCAAGTAACCCTTCAGGGTTTTAGGGCAGGGTTGTAGGGTTTCATGGTGTGAGCTTTGGGATTGGGTTGAGGCTACCCACAATCTGGTCCTCGGTGTCATTCATGGCTGACCACTGCGACCCTTCACAGCTGTGGACGTGTCGGAGTGAAGCACGGCTCCGCAATCAAAGAATACGAGCCTAAACCCCGAAAGGCTCTAGGTTTCCGCAGTTTCTGAGCTGCGCTGCCCACCATCTGAAGGCACGAGCATGACCCCGGACGGATACGTGCTGCCATGCAGCTCGGGAGCAGTGTTTCGGGGTGTTAGGCTTTTGGGCTCAGTAAGGGGTTAGGGTTTTGATGTGGCGTAGGTATTTTCGGACGGGCCGAAGCTTCAGCATGGCCGGCGGAGGGATTTCCTGTTCTACTCTACGCTTC